ATTTTTTTTTTTTTTATCAGTCATGACAACCATTTAAAAAGTAACACGTCAACATCATGGATGGCGTCATCTTTACGTGAATGTGACGCATATCGACCTGATTCAACCATTGATCCAAATTGTTATTGTTGCTATTGTATTGATCGTTCACAAAATCTTACTACAACATTTCAAAGTCAATCGAATAGTAATGTATGGCAGGTATATATGATTTAATTTATCTCAATCAATAATATCATGGATGATAAGTTATCAGTGATAAGAAAATAGATAGCAAGTGTTTGGAAAGAATGGGTGATATCAAATTTATCATTAAAAAATAATGATTGAAATGTAATTTTATAGAATCAAAAATGTTACAATGAGGAAGAAGTGACAATTGTATTAGGTGATGGAATGGAACGTGTCGGATTCTCCATTGATGCTATCAAATATGATGCTATCATTAATTCTATTTTATCCGGTATGAAATTAATATTATTGTTGTTTACATTTTAAAACTTTTGTTTACTTTTTTGGTCTTTTTTTTGTTTATTGTTTACTTCTTTTTTAGCATACTTAAATTTTGTTTTTGTTTGTTTAAGTTTTTTTAAAGAAAACAACAGTACTTTTAAATAATTTAAATAATATTGAATAATTTTAGCAATAACAATTAGATTTGCATAATTTATTAAAAAGTGAATTAAATATTCGAAATCATTTAATTAATTGAATGAATTATTTTTGACTAAATAAAATTACTATTTGAAAAAATTCATATAAAAACTAATTTTAATGATAGAATTTAATTGTCATCAAATTTGGTTAGTATGTCATCTTACTGTATGCATTCGAGGATATTTAATAAATTTGTTAAATATGTGCGTTTTTGGACTTTACAATGTTAATTTCAACATTTAAACATTTTAATTAAAAGTTTTAGCGAAAATTTTGAATTAACCTATGAACTTTATCCGATCATCAAGCATAATATTTTAAAGATTGAACTAAATTATAATCTTATCAATAATAATGGATGCATTGATCAATGATAAAATAAAAAAAAAAAATGGACAAAATAAATAATGAATATCAGATAGGAATTAAAATTAGCTTATTTGATAATAAACATTTAGTATTTTAAATAAAAAGTTCATTTTAATCAATTAATAAAAAGTTACACTCCTCGAAATGTAATTAGACCGAGATTTCTTGATAGCAATCTCTTTTGATTATAATTGAAAATATTTTTACTCTGAATATTGATTTATTTCCATAAATTCAAATCAAATTTAAATAATGGAAAAATTTGTTTGAAAATTACTTAAGCATTTAATGGAATCGTCAAATGATTCTTCGTCATCTTCTCTTCCTCCAATTACCAAAAAAAATTGTCTGACCCTATTTGAAAATCATTCATGCATAATCTTTAAAATTGTAAGACTTAATTGTATTTTAAGTAAATTATATAACTCATTTCATCGTCCCATTATTCATTTTAAAATCACACTTAAGGAAAGGTTTTTCTATTTGAGCTGTCCTATAATTTTTAATTTTCCACTTAAACCCAAAATATTTCTTCAATGAAAAAGAAAATGATAAAAGGAAAAAAAGGAAAGAGAATTACTTTTCTTTTTTTTTTTTTTAACAATTGAAGTAAAATTTACCCAATTGTTGCTTATTTATAAATACATTTTCATTTCAAAATTTCTTTTATGCAAAAATGCAGCAATTTAAATTATTTAAGATCAA